CCTCTACACACTCAACCTCCGACAGAGCAAGGAGGCACCCAGGGCGGGCTCCCGCTACAGCAAAAGGGCCAACCAGCTGGCCCAGCACAGCCCACAGCCAACAACAGAGGCCACCAACTCAATCCCCACCCCAGAAGACATACTGCACCCACCCCAACATTCAGGCCACTATCAGAACACATAGCACAAAGACACCCAGGCTGGGTTCTGATGTGGCGGCAGAGGCTGTTTCAAGTCTATAATGATCTAACAGAAGATTTCTATACTGATTAATGCTAAGATCATTTTTATTTTTCCAATTTAAGAGTATGGTTTTCTTTGCGATGCATAAGGCAGTGGAAATCATATGAGAAGTGCTTTTCTCTATAGTGACATCACCTAAGACAGCCAATAAGCAAACAGACGGAGAGGGTGGAATATAACAATTCAAACACTTGGACAAATCTTCACATACCCGGACCCAAAACCTCTGGACAGRYRGACARAGCCAGAGTGCATGGATDTAATTGTCTGGCACATTGCCTGTACAATGGGAGCAGTTATTAAATGAAGTCAAACCCATCTTGAACATTCGCTGGCCTGTATAATGTGCTCTATAGAGGACTTTATATTGTATTAATTGTAGATTAGAATTTCTAGTTATTTTAAATGTTTCCAAGCATATTTTAGACCAGGTGTTTTGGTCAAAGTTGACTAAGTCTGTTTCCTATTTAGTAACAGGTATTGATATTGAGTCGTCTATTCTAAATAGTTTATTGTAGATTTTAGATAGCAATTTGGGTGATTTAAGATTCAGAAATTCCAATACACTTGCTGGTGTCTCTAATAATGTTTTATTAAGCTTAAATTTACGTTTAATTATAGATTTAATTTGTTGATATTCTAAGAAGTATTTCCTGTCTGTCATATTGTATTATTAATTTATTAAATGGAATAAAGTCTACGCCTTCAAATAAACACTCCTGATCAAAATCTTAAGACCAGTCAAAAAAATGCAAGAATTTGCATTTTGCACTATTGGATCTTAAGAAGGTTCTAAGTAGAGCTTCACAATGTTAAAAGAAGAAATCAGTGCAAGAGACAAGAACTTTTGAGTGGGGAATTAATTGAAAACTGCATTTACACTCAAACATGATTTTTTTCAGCTGATCAAAAGTTTAAGACCATAACTAAAAAAAAAAACAACCTGAAAACCCCCCAAAATAGAAAAAGTGTCAAAAAAAGGACTCAGTAATGAGTAGCTCCACCATTCTTGTTGATGACTTCAAACAATGGTTTAGGCTTGATGCCAGTGTTTCCAGGAGGCTAGTGGGAACGTTGCTCCAAGTGTTGAAGATGGCTTCATGAAGGCCATCCACTGTCTGGAACTGATGTCCATTTTTGTAAACTTCCCTTGCCATCTGTAGGGATATGCTGTTTTGTCGATGTTATGGACAATGTTATATCATAAATACCTCGTAATTATTAGCATAACAAAGGGGC